TAATGGCTACAAAAGAGGCCGAAGTTGAACTCTTTAATATTTTTTTACTACAAGAATTTAACCCAACGAAAACAAATAAGACTACTCCTACGAATATAATAAATATTTTTCATCATTTTTTTCTTTTACTATTGGAGTACAAGACGTATGAAAAATGAATGTCAATATTTCTGAACGTTGGTTAATAAGAAGAATTGGTCGATGATTAGAAAAAATGACTCATCTGTGTGCATTTGCTGCAACAACACAATAAGTCTTTAAATAAGTGTGGCATTTAGAATTAAAACAGCCAACAATTTAAACTGAGTTTCAAAAGGTTAGTTATCAACTGGAGCATCACAACTTTTGGAAATAGACATGTTTAATTGGTTGCCTTCTTTCACGTTAAGTATTATTTTTAGTATAATATTTTAGTAATTAAATGATATTTCTACGTATATTTATTAGAAGGATATTTTGGGATTCAATTTTTTAGTTTTGGGTTCCCACTTTTATAATAATATAGATAATGTCACATAACAACCATGATACACATAATTTTTCGTAACACAAACATTAAAAATTGGACTCACCATAAATACATGGTTATATATTTACATATGTACACATTTATATATAAACTTGTGGCAACAATAAAGTTACTAAACAACTTTGTAACTTTAATATGCTAGGTTAATTGTCAGTATCTTTTTAAAACAAAGTAGATTAGCCAACGTGAATAGTTGTTGGCTTTGACTAATTTTCATGAATGAATGCTAATCAACTGACACATTATATTATAGTAAGTATTACTTTAGTTGATAAAATCACGAATTAAAAAATAGTATTGATACGACTAAGCAAGTCAATAATAATCATACGAATCACCAGCCAATATTCAAGGAAAATAAAAGGATTGAAAGAGTCCATAGAAACTTATCTGCTAAGAAGGTCCTGTACACAAATAGATGTGAACCAAAACCATGAACTTTTTTCTTTTTTAATCTCAATTGCATTTCTAGAATTTTGGCTTTAAGGTTATTTTCTTATTTATAATTTCAATTGAATGCCCACCAAAAACGTTTGCCCTTAGATTTAAAGATTGTGAAGAGTCATCACTTTTACTAATGTGAAGGATCACATCCCTTCAAATAAATTTGGTGTTTATTTAAAAATTTTGGTAAAGTAAAGTATTTAAATTACTTAGAAGGGCATTTCGGTAATTCAACTTTTTAGTTAAGGGCTTCCTACTTTTATACTAAAATATAGATAGATATAGATAGATAGATATAGATAGATATGTATATGCTTTAAAATAAACAGACAGTCATACACTAAGCTTCCGTTATGCCCAGGTTTCGAAGAAGAGCCAAATCACAAGGGCAGTATACAACCTTACCCTCTTCGTGAACTCCTAGCTACGTGTACAGGTGTTAAACGGGTGGGTGGCCGGGCTGGGTTGCTATTTTTTGGACCCGTACGGGTTACGGTCCGGGCGGGTTCGGGTTCATCCGGGTAAAAATTGAACCGTAAGGGTTACGGGTTGAGGGGGCCGGGCCGGGCCGGGTTTAGTATTTTTTTTTTTTTTTAAATATTTTGTATAACTATTCTAAGTTATATTAATACAAAGTATTAACATAAAGAGTACAAGGAAGATGGGAAAAAATTGCACTTATAAATTGCAAGTGGTACATTTATTTCAAAATTCAAACTTACAAATTGAAAGGTTTACATTTAACAACAAGTAAATTAACCAAAAAAGAGTAAATTCAAAGGTTTTGCATTGCCTTGGTAAGTTCTTCATAACCAATATGAACTGAGTGACCTTCTTCTAGAGTGTTAAATTCGGATGGGTTACCATGTGTTAATATATCTCCAAGTTCCTCGTCTTCTGGGCTATTAACATCTTCACGTCCTCGATTTCTTCGTTCCGATCTAATCCAATCTCTGAAACATACTAAAACTTCCAAAGCATTGCTTCCCAATGAGTGACGGGTGTCTCCAAGTTGTTGTCTTGCTTGGCTAAATGCACTCTCCGGTGCAACAGTAGAAATTGGCACATTCAACACGTCCCGAGCCATAGTGAAAAGAACAGGAAATTGCTTTCCATTCTCATGCCACCATCCCAACGGTGAAAATTCCTTTGTGCGAGACTCTTTTTGCTTCTGCAAGTAGAATTGAAGTTCATCAATGTTCCTGTTACTGGTTTGAGTGTTAGAAAATATAGAAATAATATTAAAACTATCAAGGCCTTCTTCATCATCCACAGTAGCAGAAGTGCTACAGTGCATAGTGGGATTAACATTGCCTACAGTACGAGCAGCATCATCAATTACATTTGCATAATAATTATATAATTATTGTCAATAATCATTTAGCTTGTTCATAGAAACATATAAATCTGGGGTTTCAGTTGGTCCAATCTCCATATAAGTATATAAAGCATTCATTAATTGGTGACAATCAGACATCTTAATGGAAGGATTTAAACCAGCACCAATTAAGTAAATCGGAGGAATTGGAAAGAAATATTTTTTGAATTTTACTTGCATTTTTTCCACAACATCTTTATATTATTCTTTCTTCTTAAATTCAAAGAGTAGAAAAGAAATTTCAGCTATATGTACTAAAGCCATAGTAACAGTAGGGTAATATGCTCCAGAAACTTCAACAGTATCTGTATAAAATTTATGTAAAAATTTAACAACATCATTAATGACCTCCCAAGTACTAGTTGTTAACATACGGTTTGGATCAGTACAATGCGCATTAGCAACTTCAGTTATTGGGAATCTATATTTGTAGCAATATTTTAAAAATATATATATGTATAATTCCATCTAATAACAATTTCGTCTGGCATGAATCTGGGTTTAAGGTTTTACTTGACACACTTATTCTTAAATTCCTTTATTCTAGATTGTCTATTATTTCCTTGAATAACACCAACTGCTCTTCTAACATGAGTAATCTCAGTTGAAGATAAATCAAGGCCACTTTTAACAATTAAATTATAAACATGACATGCACACCTAACATGAAAAATTTTCATCAAGAGGTGGTTGCAAATGCAGTTTTAATATTGAAATTGCGGCATTATTGTTAGAAGCATTATCAAAAGACATACACAATACTTTTTGCTTGAGATTATAAAATTCAACAACTTCACAAATAGTACTACTTATAAACGCAGCAGTATGACTCTGATCTTCATCATATCTAAAAGCGATAATACGTTTTTGCATACAAGTAGTATCATCTATCCAATGACATGTAATTGTCAAATAATCATTTCCATTAACAGCATGCCCAATATCAGAAGTTAGAGAAACTCTACAAGGAAGGTGGCTAAACAAATAACGTATGTATGTTTGATATTGTCCATGAAGTCTAAAGATATTAGCTCTACAAATACTTCTAGGAATACCTTTAAATAAAGGATTGTAAATCCTTTGAATATACATAATAAGATATGATGAAGAAGCAAAAGAAAAAGGTAGACATCCTAAAGCAATCATTTTTGCTAACTCCTCGGGTTCCTTCATTTTATCATAGTTCAAAAGTCCTCCAGTAGTAGGGTTAATAGTTGTTTGATTTTCATCATCATCAGAGCCCCATTCTATGGGATGTGCAATTCTCATATGTCTACTAAGTGTCCCAGTCCCCCCTAAATTTTTTCCAGTCAAATGTTTAAAATCATCTTTACAAAGTTTGCATCTAACTCTGTCAGTACCTTCAATTATTTCACAAAAATTCCAAACCTTACTTCTTTTTCTACGATTAGTAGTCGGAGCCACAGGTGGTCTACTACTAGTGCCACGACCACCACCCCTTGTAGCAACTCCAACACTACCAGCTTCAGCACTAGTAGGTGTAGCTGGTATCTCATCTTCCATTCTTAATTCATTATCTTCTATTCCAAAATCTTCTTGTAATTGTTCATAATCTATATTATCATCAGGCGATGTTTCGGTAACATGTGTAAATGGGGTATTACTATTACTACCAGATGCTGAAGCACTACCTCTTTTTTTATTTCCCCTACCGGTAACTTTTCTACACGCTCTTTTAGCAGCATTCAACATATTGTAAAAATTAAAGTATAAGCTAAAATTAAATATGCAATTAAAATAGTAAATAAGATAAAGAGTTGGAGGGAGTGCACCGAATTCGACAATAAATTGAGCACTTGATTACACAATTCCGATGTTACCACGAACAAACATCAAGCAAGTATTTCAATTTTGAAGTTCAATTGTTCAAACTTCAAAATCCGAATGATAAAACACGATAAATTAAATTCAAGAAAAAAGAGCCAAATAAAATTAGAAGATGAATTGAAGACTTGAAGTCTTGAAAATTGGAGAATAAGAGAATGAGAGAAATTGAGATTGAGAAATGAGAGTTGAGTGAAGAAATGAAGAAGGGGGGGGGGGTATTTATAGTTTTTGAGAAGGTTAATTTTGTAAATTGAAAAATGGTTAAAATTTAAATAAAAAAAAGGCTATTTATGCAATTCTCCCGTTGGCTAACAGATCAATTCCAGGTCTGACCGTTGCCAACGGTCAGTGGGCCTCACATAATTCGAAAAAAAAAAAAAAAATTATAGCCGTTGTACCTGGCCGGTTAAACAGGTAAGAGTTACTGTTCACGTGGACCGGGTTTAACCGTCCGGTTAACCGTTTAAAAAAAATAAACGGACCAACCCCCTCTACCCCTCCTACCAAACCCACCCGGCCCCCTATGTACCGGGCCGGTCCGGTTCCGATTTTAACCGGTCTGGGCCGGTTCGATTCCGGGTCAACCCGGCCCGTTGGACACCCTTAGCTACGTGACACTAACTTTTACAGCCAAGGCTTCCCTTCATATACTAAAAGAAAAATGAAAAACCGATATTGACCCGTTTCTCCACCACCTGGGCAACATCAAAATAAGCAACTAAAAATATCAGAAAACGCCCCACGCCCTGCCCCCCCCCCCCCCGTCCCCTCAAACACCTCATACTAGGTGCACCTCAATAGGGGCCCTTAAACGCAACCAAGGTTTGTGACAAAACGCAGGCGGCTCACGCCACCACTTAGAATACAGGAGAGTACAATATCCCCACGCTCCTCCCTTAATCATTGTTCGCCCAAATATTTTTTTCTCCAAAACTGGATTCTGACTCATCAATGGAGGATTTGCATCATTTTCTGCAAACATAAAACTAAATTTATACATATACTCTTTTCACCTTTTTCCTTCACCTCCTTTTCTCTCTCTATACACGCGAAACACGTTTTAGGTGTTGTGTGTATATGTGTATGTGTTTGAATTGTTAGGGTTCATGGAGGTAGTGGAGGAGAACGGTAAAAAGCCGATCCAGTTAGTGAGAGCGAAATCTGACAAGGATCGGATTAAGGTAAAGAGGAAGACGCTAGAAGCTGTGCTTCAGGAATGCCAAATAGCTCTCGAATTGCTTAGTGCTACTGGTTCCGTTGAAGATGAAGACACCGACGACTCCAATTCTAACAGTGATGTTGACCGCGATGCTTCGGCTGATGACTCCGGTCAAAGCTCCTCTTCTCCAGCTCATGTCACCGAGACCGATGAGGTCAGCTTCTTTTGAAATTTACGTTTTTTTGTATAATTGTTACTTCTGTATCTGTAGCTGTTAAATACTTGTTAGTTTCTTGTTTGACTGAATTCGCTGTAAAGTATTTTGTATATATGCTAAATTTTATAGTGTTTGAATTGATGTAGTTGCATCTTTTAACATAAATCTTTGTGTTGAGCTAGAAAAGAACTTATAGAGCTATTAATTGTGGCTTAGAAATCTGAAATTATATCTATTTGATTGAATAGAGTTTCAAAATACAAAAGCATTCGGTTGAACACGTGCTTTTGTTTGAGCCTGTATATAGGATAAAGCTTCGGAACAACAATCTCTGATAGATTAAGTTTTAGTAGTTTCATTTGGAAATTCAGTTGAGCTTGAAAGCTGTGCTTATAAAAGCCAGAAACAGTCTGATTGCCCAATATTAGGTTAGGTCTGGAGAACTAGAGAAATCAGGCTGTGTAGTTTTGGAGAATGCTCTGGCGTTCCCTTCATCATAGTCAGAGAACTGGAAAATGCTTTTGAATACCACTGATATCATAATTGCATGTCTTAAATTTGGTTCTATGTTGAAACAACTTTGGTGCTTTAGTGCTCCTTAACCCAAAGGTTTTTGGTTTCGGAATTCGCGCTTATGGACTGAAGTAATGCACATTTACCCATGTTAATTTATTTGAGTGGGTCACCGTTATTATGTTTTTAGAAGTTGGAACACATACTGCAATTGCTTTGCAGATAGGTTGGGTTCTCATTTGACTGTGAGATGTAACATCTTTATTTCTAAGGATTATTGATAGCTAGTGACTCAAACAAACAATGCCAGTGTCCAACTCCATTATTTTAGGTAGATGGATTTAGGGAATCAACTGACTAAGTTTGATTTCTTTGAACTAAGTTTGATTTCTTTGAACGTGAACCACGGCAAAAGGTTTGAAATCCTGTTTTGTGCATCTCATTTGTTGTGCAGCTGCGAGATCTCCTGAAATCTAGAGTTGAGTGTCCAGACTTCCTTCAAAAGCTAGAAAAAGCTCAAGCATCAGTTCCGCAAAACTTAGCTGGTATGTTTTCGTAGAGTTGGTAACTATATGACTTCTGATATCTTTTTAGTTTCCTTCTCAAGTGGAATTATGGTAGTAATAATTACATGTTAATTGTGTTGCAGAAGAAGGAAGTTCATGGGACATGGTCAATGAAAATGACCTTTGGGAAGGTGGAGATCCCGAGTTAGACAAAGAAGACTATGTTTTAGTTAAGCAAGAAGATATAGTGGATGGTATAGCTTGCTTCATGGCTGCATATCTGTTGTCTCTTAAACAGACTAAGGTGTGGACGCTTCCGTAAAGCAGACTTGATCGTTTTGCTCCTTAAACTGTTCTTTCTTTCCTTTTTTCTTTAAGTTAACTGTAGAAACATAGCTCAATGCAACATCCAGCGTTTTGGTTTTTTATGCTTGTTAACGTGTTCATTTCAATTTATTAAATTGCTTACCTTTTGACTTCGTAAAGAAAATGCTCACCTATTTTAGATCATCTTTGTTATTTCCTTGTGTTTGCAGTCTGTTTGTACTTTATAGGACTCTAGACGTGATCTTAAAAAGAATGATTTATAGTTGTTACTTCCTCATTTAATTTACTCCCTCGAAGGAACAAACAACTTGACATTAAAAAGTTAGACTTTGTGGAGTGGGTCGCAGTAAACTAAGTGAAATTAAAATATGATATGATGTTTTCTCTATTAAGTTGATTTGTCAATAACCATTTTAATATGGTTCCATCAATAGCAATATATTACAAAACTCAGATTGACATCTCTGATTCTGTACCTTATCAAATTATGTCACATAAAGTGAAACGGAGGGACTATCTCTTCCTCCAAAATCTGCCCACTTGACTTGCTGAAGGTTATTTCACAGGCTTTTCTGTTTTGATCAGAAAGGACCTTGATATAAGAGTATTAGTTGATTAATCGATTAGTTTTGGTTGATAAGATTGAAAATAATTTTTCGATGCCAATTGTGTCTGAGTTTGCTGTGACTAGTTATGATGAATAGTTTTATGGCACTCATATCATCATATAGGATGAAGGGTAATCTCCATTACTGTTCAAAATTACTATAGTGTCTCTTCCTCTGTATGAGATTTAATTCTATGCACTAATTTGTGCAGGATTTGACACCAAATCAACTCCAGGAAGGTCAGTTGATTCTTGCTTTCCAACATTTTTTCTATGGACGGATAATTCTTAAAAAGAAAACACTTGTGTGCTCGTTCATGCTGGCATGTTGAATCTCTCTCTGCATTGCCTTCTTCAATTCATTTTATTGAGAAAAGTGACATTAGATTTTCTTCACAGCCCTCAGCAAGACATTCTCGGTGAAAAAGAGGAAAGGAAAGCTCCGAAAGGCATGGGATGGAAGTAAAGTAATTTACAACGTAGCATCTTGGGGGGCTACAGCCATTGGGTAAGCCAACCTATTTGATTCAACAAATTAGTTCTTCTCCCTTCTATCTCATATACTCAGAGTTGACAATGTTTATGTGTAAAATGTATTTTAAGAAAAGACTTCTCTTTCCTGGTCTACAGTTGTACTCTCAAGGTTGACCTTCAAAGCATGTTTTGCCTATTGTAAGGTGGAAACATAGTAGAAGTAGGTCCTCTGATGGCATTTGAGTATAATTTTCTTCCCATTGTCCCTGCTTTATGCATTTATTTTTTAAATTTAAGTTAATCTCTGCTTTATGCCGACATTATCAAAAAAAAAAAAAAAATAAGAACCTCTGCTTTATTCATATCCTTCAGAGGAGAGCGATGGCTCAACTAGTGATCATAGTTTAATAAGTGCAGAACAATGTCCAGACACTTTAGCAAGGAAATCTGTCAGCTGTCATGGATGAGCCTGTAGTCATTCAGCTCCACGTATTTCCTCGCTTTTCTTGGCCAGAAGCTCTCCATCTAAAGTTATTGCCTCCTTAGGTGATGTCATCATAATGGTTTATCACTAGGTGTAGCTGCCCTCCCAAACCCAAAGGTCAAATAGGAGGACAGAAACTGTAAAAGGATATAAGCATGCTACACTTTGAGTTGTAACCAAGTTTGTCAAATGTGCTCATTGCCAAGGAAAAATTGCAGTTCTTGTCCTCAAAACCGATTGTAAGGTTTAAGTTAATGATTGAGGTGAAAGGGACTGAGTGTTCATTTAGAAAGCTCTAGTCCTGGTCTAGTTCGCATAGCAAAATGCATGAGGTGTTGCCAAATCAGAAGTTGATGTTTACGTTAGCAAGTTATTCTGAACACTACCTAGCTTATGCTCAATTTACTTGTTTAACCTGATGTTAATGCCTCCTCAGAAGATTGAACGATGCTAGTGTATCCTAATGAATGTGAGTCTTATTGATGTTTTTGCCTGAATTTGTGCGCTTTAAACCAGGATATACCAAAACCCAGCTATTCTAAGAGCTGCATCAGCAGCATTCTGGACTTCATGCCGTGTAATATCAAAGCTCTTTTAAGCAGCAGTTATGGCTTGGCTGAAATTCCGAGGCTTCGCCTGCACATTGTATGTGTGCTTGTGCTTAGGTTGTTGGTTCTTTAATATGTAATATAAATGCCATTCTTTTGTTCAACACACCGTAGTGTTCTCTGTATTTAATCCTGTAAATATTTCTCCAATTGAATAGCCTGTGTGCAGATTGATTGGGCTAATCTGATGTTCATGTTTGATTATTGATTCTCTGCTGATCGCAGTTGATCATGAAGCCTTCTGAATTAGTTTTCCCTCGGCCTTACTAAACAATTAAGGGTCAGTTCTGTCTGGTTGCGGAATGCGACAATTGATTATTTTATTTCATTAGCCCGAATGCTTAATTTCAAGCAGCCACATTGGACGTTGACTCCAAGTTAAGAAAACACACTAATGTAAGAATATTGATTGACCATTTACTTCCATCCACTTTTAGTACAGAACCCTCTTCTTTGAGTTGGAAGTGAAAACAAAAAGAAAGCATTGAAGTTAGAAATCTTCTTTGAAAGTTACGTTGTGTTTGGACATGAAATTTACTTGAATATTTTTGGTTGAAGTTTAAGATTTGTGCGTGAAATCAGTGTTTCTCTTGAAATACACACAAAAACCAGCATATATTTCACTTGACATTTAATTATTGAAGTTCCGGATCTGTTGTTTCTGATGGCAAAACAGTATTTGTAAATACTGAAAGAGTGATAAGCTCAGATTGGTTGCTGGAATAATCTTTTTTATTTGCAAATCTTAATTCAAAAGTTAACTACATAAGATGTGAAGAAAAACATTTCAAAAAATCAGTTGGGATGAGATGATGAAGTTGCTAAACGCACTGTGGCGTCTATACGTTGGTGTTGTACCGATAAGTGATAACCAATACCTGGAGTTTAACCACCGCACCCTTTGCGTTTGCCTGTCTGTACAACCTGTGCACGTTTGTCTTTGATGTATCGTCTTCTTTGGTCAAAGATTTTTAAAATTTATAATTATAACTTGTACGACACTATGCCGTTTAAAATGGTTTTTCGTTCTGTTCCTTTGCTTAAGAAATACCAATCAATTTTAAACTTGCTTCTATTACAATTCTCGCTTGTATTAGTGATTGTCTCTTTATATAATCTTGAAACAATACATCCCTTTTAAGCTAGCCTTTAAGGTCGAGTTAATAACAACATCCATTTTCTTTATGTGAAATCAAAATTTGATCTATCCTTGCTGTTGAACTATTCAATGTTGAGCCACTCATATCATGTTCTTTCACAATCCAAATGTCCAGTCATTTGTACGTGGGAAGGGTTATCATCTCCAAATGGTTAAGTAGATAACATTTTTTTAAAGTATAACCTTGGAAGTCCTCGTCGCTCAGCTAATTATATGGTTGAGTTAGGCAGTACCTGCCGCTTCTCTTAAGTTTGTAATAAACAAGGAGAGCTGCATATTAACTCTTACTCGAAGGCAGAGAAATCTGGTAATCTGTAATTCAAGACCTGGAATAAAATGTGAATTGCCATACGTCTTTTATATCGCTATTAATACAGCAGGAGCAGTAGAGTAACCTGCTTCCACAACAAAAATGGCTTTGTGTGAGAAACTATATCCTATTCTTCTGTAGCAGGCCTAAAACACCATAAGCGAGCACATCTTCTCATGAAATGTATCGGCACCAACGTCTCCCCCTAACCTGAGGCGAATCCACCTATAGGCTATCGGCTATAGCTACTACACCCCTCTTTCTCTTTTCGTTGTCAAAACCAAAAAGAAACGAAAAAATGAAACTGAAAAGTAAAATGAATAGGACATCTATACATAATTACATCTAGTAATAATAAGTTGGTCCTTTGTTATTTGTTGCATCTCTACAAAGCATTGATCGCACTTCAAGAATGGATCTTGGAGGCTCAAGGTCTTTCTCTTGAAGCGAATTACCTAAAAGCTGTTGCATCTGAGAGGCAAATGTATCATCTAGGATCTGCAAAAGCCAAATACACAAAATGATAAAAACGGATGCACTTTGTGCTAGAATGTTGTTTTAACTTTATAGTTGGTAACTAGCAAAACGGATGTTGCTACTTACAGAGACTGCAATTCGTGAGCCCTTGTACCAAGCCCGATTCTCTTTCCTGCTTTCCAAGAAACTTAGCACGTCCTGCAGCAGAGTGAAATTAGTAATTACACAAAAATGAACACTAAGCTATCAACCGTAAGTTCAAACTAACCTGTCCCATCCTGTCCCAGTAGCCTCGACAACTTGCGATGAATACATTAGGCTCAAATATGGTGTAAAGGTGATTTATGGTACTCGCAAGTTGCTCCTTCAATGGCTGCATCTTACTTCTAATGTCTGATTCTATGACACTCTCCTTGGAATCTTGTAAAATTTTCTTCAACTTTGTGTTGCTCTGCAACTTCGTCTGAAGCAGGAACAATGATATTTGTTTAGTAGTCCGTCTATGGATTGGTTTGAAAGAGATAAAAATGCAGAATCTGACTGGAGCTACTTATGAAATTTCAATTATGGGCATCAGTTACGAGTTTCTTTTAATGAATGAAAACACTGCTAAATCAGCAGCATAATCTGCATAACAGACAGAGCCCACTAAATATACATCATGTGCACTTTACTCTCCCCTCAATCCAAAATAGGGAAAACAAAAAGGAAGAATTATTTTAGATGATTGACTTTATTCACACCTTGTATTTAGTTTCGGCCAAATACATATGCAGCCCCTCAAAGTTGGCACCATTTTTCATTTGGACACTAACTAAGGCAAGACAGAGCCCACTAAATACATCATGTGCACTTTAGTCTCCCCTCAATCCAAAATAGGGAAAACAAAAAAGAAGAATTTTAGATGAAGCATTGACTTTACTCACACCTTGTATTTAGTTTCGGCCAAATACATATGCAGCCCCTCAAAGTTGGCACCATTTTTCATTTGGACACTTTAACTAAGGCATGTACCTATTGACCACTCTAAACCCAACAAAAGCGTGCCAATTAAACACAATAGGCTAATATGGCAAGAAATGTGTTTTTCACATCTCTTGAGCGCGTGAGTTGATCCAAAAACATATTATTATTATTTTTTTTAAAGATCATTTTTTTTACAAAAACATCACCAACTTTAATCTCCGAGCCGCCTTTAACCATCCCTGAAGAAATCACGGATCATCTCATTGGAGCCATTGCAGACAACTCTTGCCGACAAGCTTAACATTCATCTTGATCTCAACTTCTGTTGTTTAGTTCTAACAACCTTTCACAAACAAAGGACCGCTCTTTTTCAACCCCAAAACGCCACCTTCAACCAGATTATTACACCGGCGTTCTCGTCAACTCAGTCAAGTGAAACCACACCGGTTAATGCCCATCTTATGAAAATTTTGATTCTTTATATATCGAATTTTACAGTTTTGAGTGGCCTTAGTGTGACTGTGTAATTCCTGGTCGTGGTAGTTACATGTGTTATTTTGTATTGTTGTCATCTCACCATCAATATTTCAAAAGATTTATATTAAAACCAGTAGAATACTGAAATAGCAAATGAGCTTAATTTTTTACCAAATAAAAATGGAAGATAAGTGTTGGGTGATGAATGTGATCAAGAAAAGGGGAAATGGGTGTTCTGTAGTGTGAAATATATATTAGAAGAAAAAAGGAAGAAGGTAAAGCTCCAGATTTTGGACGTAGATTTAGAAGAAAAGAAGGAAAAAAAGAAATTGTAGAAGAGGAAGAAAGAAGAAAACGAAAAGCAGAAGACTGAAAGAACAAAGAACGAAGAAGAACGGAGGGGGGGGCCCGGACAGGGGATCCAGAGTTGTTAGGATGATGAGCTCTTTTTAATATTTCCACGTGGCTTTCGATTATGTCTGATTTGCCACGTCAGAGGTATTTGTTGTCACGCGCCTGAACTTATTTATGCACATTGTGTGAAGTATTTAATTGGCATACTTTTGTTGGGGTTGAAGTGTACAATACGTATAGACTTTAGTTGAAGTGTCTAAATGAAATATAGTGCCAACTTTAAGGGGCTGCCTATGTATTTGGCCTTTAGTTTCTGAAAGTGTCATAGGATGCATATATTGATAAAATCTCCCATCATCAGAACAGTCATGTAATCAATTGAAAGGTTGTTTCAGTAATTAGCAACAAAAATAATATAGAGAAGTGCATTATCTGGGTGGATTCCTTTCAATCTTAGATTTAACCAAAATGTAGAGCAAACTTACATTTTCTGCGAGCTTCTCGATGACTGCTTGCACATAATTTCTGAATTTAGAGCGAAGCATCACAGTCACCTCACTCAAGCGCTCTCCAGGGGCGGTGTTCCCTCCTTCGGGTATACATGAACCCCAGGACTTAAATTGCTGCTCTATTTTTGGGCGCAGAATGTCAAGCATCCTCTTCATTGAATTCAAAAGAATACCCAGCTGAAAGAAGGAACATGTTTCAGGCCTAAATATATGAATAATAAATGATGAAGGGCAGAGCTACGAGGATACGTACATCATCTGGCACAATATATGGGCAAACTGATCTTTTGGCAAGTTTTTGCACATATTTGAGGCCAAACTTCTTGGGTGTCAAATTCTCCTTTAATGGTGACAAGACATCTGCATATTGCTTCTCCAGTGCATCCAAAATTGCTTTCTCAATATCAGCAATGGCCTATGACATTAAGAAAAAAAAAAAAAAAAAAAGAAGTGTTAACTATAAAACAAAATAGTAGTTATAACAAAAGAAAAATGAATAAAATGTAACATGAACGCAAAGTGCAACAGCAGCTCGTATGCTACCATCCATTCGATTCCTTTTATCTCAAGCAAGCAACAACATGTTCACTCCCAGAAGAAAAAGAAAAATGAAGCAAAAAAGGGAAAATGAAAAGGAAATAAAAATCCCTATGTAACAAATTCCCTTTAATACGACATCCCAATGGGGAAGTCTACAATTTCCAGGTTTTAGTAAGACGGGCAGAAACAGAAGAACCAAGGAAAAGGGATAATGAGTACTGGGAAATTGGTATTCAATAACTACTGTTTCACTATCAATCATTCATTGATCCGAGATCTAGATGTGTGAATTGAAAGGTCCGGATGATCGACTGTGTAATCAGTTGTTAGAATCAATAGGTCTTCAAATTGTTCATTACTTTAGTCAGTCAATGAACTCTTTTGAATGACATGGTAAAAAAATGCAACAAGCTTCAGAAAATTGTAAAAATCCCCCTTGTTTTGCCTACAATAGAATATTTTC